TGTGATAGAATGCGAAGGTCGTTTGGCAGAAAATCCCCTCGCTGTCAAATAGCGAGACAAATAACTACCTTCCTCCTCCATCTCTGCCCTCTATGACGTCTCCTACAAATTATATCAGATAATGACATTTGGTTTTTCCTCTGAAATGAATTTGTTTTATTTGATATACAGTATTTTGAAGAACACATGACGTCAACACATTGATATATAAAGAATAGCTTTCATGCTGTGTATTAAGTGGAGTTCCTATGGTATATATCGAACAAAATGTGTCAATCATAATTTCTCACAGCACAAATTGACATATTTAGATGTTTGTATTGTCCAACAAACATGTGGCAAATTAATTTAGATTTGCACATGCTTGCAATTCCATAGTAAAGGCCAGGTGAAATGAGATCTAATCCAAACTGATGGAAGAACATTGCAGCTTTAGTACCTTTTTTAGTGGAACCTTTAAATAATTAATGGTCAGATGGATAAGCATTGAGTTAATAGGTGCATCTATAAAACGCCTCTGCAATCTGCTGACCATATGGTGCTTAGTCAGATTCCCACACTGGGACTAAGAGTCAGCCGTCAGCATGCTTTGATAGGAGCATGATGAGCGAAGAGACAAACCCTTCTGGTGAATCTTTAACGGCAACTGAAAGATTAATAATGCTCTTAACATGCTTTCACTGCAGGTGAGAGATAGTGGGAGAAATAAAATATCACACATTTGCCTAGAAAAGAGTGGATTGTAAGATTTGGTATTTTTATGGAGTTTGGAGACAATAAGAAATATTCTTTAGTCTGAACAAATGAAAGGCACTTTGGCAAAACCAGACACAATCTGCCCAGCTCACATTTCTTCATCTAACAAAGAAATTATTTGGATTGATTACCAAACTTGAAAGCCTTTCACTACAGGAATGTGCAGGTGATGACACAACTGTGTGTAACAACATCCATGTGTAAGGAAACAGCCCATGTAATGGACATCAGCCTTTTACATGAACTGAGATCAACAAACAACAATATCTCACCTAGGGTCTATGAATAGCATTTTACTATAATAGTTCACAAGAATGGTATTTTTCAGATAGAACAGAAACACCCCAAGGCTTTTCCTTTGCTGTGAGACTGTATGCATAGCTGTTTATTAGGATAAGCAGATGCTTCCCAGTCAGTGGGAATCAGTGTTTTGCTGCGGTGCAGATGGGATCTTATACTCAAGTAACAAATCAGAACGATTTGTTTGTCTTTGAACAGGCTGCATCTGGCCTCCACCTTTCTTCTTCCCAACGGGGGTCTTGATGGGAAACTCTTTGAGTCTAGACAAGAGCTGTCAGAGGAAACCATTGCTGCATGTCTTCACAACATGGGAAAATAATTGCTTTGACAGCAGCAGCTGTGGTGAAATTTGCCATTTGTGGACTCATAAAACATAGATAAGTCTGAGTCTTTTCTTCCTGCTTTCCATTACACGGGCATGTCCAGCAACTGAGCATAACACATGCTTTAAGTAATAAAAGGTCCATCTAAGCTAGTTTTCTGCTTGGCCGTACAGCGCTGTAAGGCCACAGCTGCTACATGGCAGAGACCCAGGGGAGTCCAGGCTGAAGGTCCTGTCCGGACTTGGCCCCCATCTCACTAACTACCACAAGACTTTTCTCTTTAAAATGACCAAGGACTTCCTAAAGTGGGTTGCATTCATGTTTTTACATGTATTTATAGATGTACACACTGTATGTAATCATCAATACTAATAAGTATGTATTTCATTTGGATATTCTTCATGAGCTACAGAACACAGCAATATAATGACATATATTGAAATGTACATCATGTAAATTGTCAACACCAGCCAACTCCAAATGATCATAACTCAGCTTTATTATATTGTATATTTTATAATCTTACTCCATTGTTTGTCATTCGTGCTTTATATATACATACACCTATATTTCACATACTGGTGACATAGTCCTTCCATTTGTTATCTCGTCTTTTCTGTGTTGCCCTAATGTCTATTTATATGCATTTCTATGTCTATGCAAATACAAAATTCAAATTCCTTTAATTTGTACACATTTGGCCAATAAAGTTGCCTTTCAGAGGCGCTCAAGGTAAAGCATCACTACTGTAGATAAGCACCTATGTTTGAACTTCTTCTGAACCACAGACCTTGAAATTAAAACCTTGAAAATCCTATATCTCCTGGCTCATGTATCCACATGGGAGGAAGACAGGTCATTTCAATCAGTGTCAGACCAGGTGGCCCCAATATCAGCCCAACAACAGCTCACTGAGAGCACTCAGGCTACTTAACCAGCCAGAAGTCACTGTGCTGCACATCAGCTCGATATCTGAACTCCTCTTCACCACTGAGTCATAGCATTTACTCTGTTTACACTGCTACTACAGCTATAGATATCAGGGTTTACAGCAGCAGATTATCTGGATTCATGCTTAGCAGAACACATCCACACGAGCATCTAAATCATGAAAACAGCTCAGTAATGTTTCACAACTGGATTCAACAACCATTAAACATGATTTAATTCTTTAACCAATAACTAATGAGCTGGATCAAGAAATATCCATTAGCAACAATATAGGTCAGGTCTGTCCAAAGGGGCATGGTGCCATAGAGCAATATATTCCACATTCACTGCATGTGATGTGATAGATTTGCCCTGGGACTTCTTATAAATCTTATTATGTGCACGTTGCAACTTGACACACTCATCATGAACACAAAATAAGATATAGAAGCATGGCAATTTAATGATGAACTGATGTGTTCAATATCAGACTCCTCGCTTCATTGTGATGCTATTTCAACCTGTAATAACTCACTATCCAGTTTTCTATCGTTACCATGCGTTCTGCAAATAAGAAAAAAATATATATATAAAACATAGGCTACTCACCCAAAATCCCAACAACAAAAAGTTTCAGTACTGCGAACTCATTTGTATCCATCACGCTGTTAGAAAATCCAATCGGACTTTGAATGAAACCTCAGCTGCAGCTCCGTGGAAATGTGCATTTGAAGCGAACCATCATTGAAATAATCCAAATTGTGTAAATCCGAGCTCCGTCATGCTGTCCCGAGTCAAGTGAAATAAATGAAGGATCAGTAGGGGTAAAGCCGGAATAAAAACAAGTAACTTAATCTGATCCCAGAGCGTGATTTCTGACTGTCCTCGTGATGATCACTGCAATTTCTCTCTGGCGCCAGGAGTCAGGTCCACACTGTCCTGCATCCTCTGTGGGAGGAGGGGGAGAGAGGGGGGGAGAGAGAGAGAGAGGGGGGGGGGGGGGGGTGATAGGGTTCCTACAGAGCATTTGACACTGGATTATGTTTCCTGAGTAACTGCTCAGATTGGATCCTTTTATTCCCAGCATGAAATTAACTATATTGAAATGTAATATTGAAAAACGAGGATAGGCTATATTATGCAGAAGACCCAACGAGAATCCAGCAATCAATAAAGACTTTAGTTTAGAATAAAATATGCAGTCCCTTATTTTCATACTATAACAGACATTTGCACACACGTCTAAATGTAATGATGTTATATTAATTTAGGCATAATACACATTTAATTGTAATTGGCTATAGACCTTTAACTAATGAGGACATTAAAATTAAACATATAATATTGCATTATAACTATGGTATTATTATGACGTAATTATGATAGATGATAATCTGGATTAAAGTGAACCACTGAGCCACTGATGGGTGCGTTTTAATTGTTCTTATGTAAAACAACACTGACCTCTTGTGGCTCTTTTTGGAATTGCTCCTATTTCAGATAACAGCAACACAAAACAGTGACAACCATGAAATAATTCAGCACAACAGGTCAGGTGATTTAAACACAGGTTAATAAAAAGTCTAAATTGCATTTGAATGTGAATGCCTTCGTAATATTTTCCCTCTGTATCTGAAGGTATGAGAAAAATATGAAAAGGGGTATCTTCCAAGTCTTTTCAGTACAGAGTTCCCTCTTTGTGTTACTTTCCCACTGCAGCTCAACAAGGAGTCACTGTTCAGGGAAACACAAAGAGGGTGTTATGTACAGAAATGGACTCACTCTGGAAGATACCCACTGGATTTGATTAAGACGTCTAAATTACAATAATGGAGTTAGACAGACTTGGAAAAACCTTTCACATGTTCTTTCAGCTTTAATGATATGACGTGATTAGTTGAATAAGTTAAAGTACAACATTTAATCTTTTTGCCAGCAAAAATGAGTCAGAACAGGAAGAGGGCACTGTTCTTCCTGCAGACAATTAACCAAAACTGTAAATCTTTTGGCAGGTGGTTGAGGATGCTGACAGACATAAAATATTCTCATCTTTTAAAAAACGATTGGCATGCAGGAACACAACCTCCTGCAGAATTTCCTGAAATTATGCAACACTTTAAATATGTGCACACATCTCTCGGTAGTAAAAATAAGCAAGTTAAACAACATAATCTGTCACAATACCTTAAAATGGCACACAGACTTGACATAATCTCTATGCACTATAGGGATGAAGTTGAGCTTTTAGAAGTTGTTGGATAGCAATAAAAAAGGCTATATTTTATTATATTTTTGGGATTACATTTTGGCATGCATGCCTACAGTATAGTGTGTAGATGACAGTTGACATGATGACATTATATGTGATCTGCTTTCTGAATTAGCACATAGGCCTATGCTTTTTGGGATTTTTAGAGGACTTTGTAAGAAATGTGCAAATACAGTTACATGTTTTATCACAGCTTGGGAAAGTAGCCTAATCTTTTTTCTATCTAAAATGTGTTTCCGAAGCCACGATCACTACAATGATTATTCTTGTTGCACCTTCACCAAAGAGCTTAAGTTTCCTGACAAGGAAATGACCAGGGTGGACTTTTCTGGAAAGGGACGCAGCCAATAGTGACTGATTACAGTCGCACTTGTTCCGCTTACCTCACAGGAGGTGTTGAACTTTCACCTCCAGTGTGACATGGCTGGATGACATACTGCTTGTTCTAGGGGCAGTTGCTGTCATTTACCCACAACATGTGTAAAATGAATTTCACTAATTGCCTGCCTGAAAAGTGAAAACTTACCAGACTGGTTAAAGTAGGATGTCAATAAGTGACGCAGGAGAGTTGGAGCGCAGAGTTGTAGGAGGAGAGACAGATACGCCTCAGTACAGAACAGGAGGAACACGGACTGCAACTGCAAGGTAGGAAAACATGTCTATAACGGGCATTTTACCAACAACTTTGTAATTATCATGTATTTACTGTGATTGGAATCAACTTTCTTAATATTAAAAAGCACTTGCTACCTCTCAGTTTGCTCACTTGTGAGTTCGGAACCGCGCTGCGAGCAGTTCTCTTCTACAGGGAAAAACTCCACCAAACCTCGGGTATAAATCTGCAGGTTTAATGTTTCAACTCGTGTCCAGGAAGATATACCTCTCCCAGAGTCATTATAAAAGGTCCCACTATCCATTAACGAATTTTGTTTAATTCGGCATAAAGCTTTTCCATAAATGTATTATGTTACACCTGGTTCAGGGCTGAACACTGTCCACCATATTATGTTTGACAGCAAACGGAAGCGGGAATAACTTGTTAAGAAAGTCGAATTTTGACAAAAATCTGTTGTGATTGTTATTTTGGATGAATACATGTGTCGTGGCTGTGTAGAGTAGCTGTAAATGAGTCGTATTGATCTTGTTTTATTCTTGATTTGGGTCTACGTTAAGTTAGTCTAAGTTCACAGATTTTCGTATAAGGTTTGGTGTGACATGCTTCTAACTCCTAGACGCATCTAGTAAACCTTATTAAATATAGAAAATAATAAAGCTGATCTTGGACATCTGGATGTATTGGTTTAGAATTGACTGTAGCTGTTATTTATTATGAATAATGTATGAACCTATTATGTACTCTGCCCTGTGTTATATCTAGCATGCAAAGCCAACTGAGCCTGCATTTGCATTGGTGTGTGCCATACACTAAACTAACACTGTAATCCAAATATTGTAAAACAAGTTGATGTATTTTAGTTTTTAGTTCGGCGAGCTCATACATGCATACCCAGGCCTGCACTAGAGTTACCTCTATGGGTACACACTGCTGCTGTCTGTGCATGTTTGGAGCCCAACCTCTGTTGATTATCTGCACATCCTCCTGCGAATACCCTCTAAACTTAAATCTACTGTATACCCATCCGTACCCTCAAAGATAAACAGCTCCCTTGGAAAGCTGACAGACACTGAAGGTGTGGCAGCAAACCGAACACGTCTCACTTTGTCCTGGCCACCTTTTGTTATTAAGTCATTAAATTGTCTACGGGTACTTCTTAAGAAAGCAGTTTAGGGAGTAAATCATTTGCGGTACTTTGAACATTAAATGCAGTGTCGAGCACACACCCACATTTGAGTTCAGGCGGGATCCATGCAGTTATGTAAGATTTAGCTGGCAGATATGGACACACACCCACAGCAGGGCTGACCTCAAGGGAAGAATACACCAACACACTTGTATGAGACACACTGAGTAATGGTGCAGAGCTTAACAAAGATAACAATTATTCATATGGATCTACACTATCAATACAAACTGAGACATAGTTCGCAGACACCAGATAACATGCACGCTATGTCTACAGCATTGATGTTGCAGTTTGTATATAGTTTGTCAACACAGGGTTAGAGATCACCAAGTCCTAGATTTAATTTCACTTTAACAAATCTCAAGTGTCCTTATACCAAAACAGTAACACATTTGAACATTAGTCCTCTAAAGTAGGGCTGCCAACAAGCAATTATGTTCTTTATCAAACAATCTGTCAAATATAGCCAAATGAAAAGCTAGGAAATAGAAGAAGAAGAAGATGGACCTTTATTAATCCCCCGAGGGGGAAATTCCGTTTCCACTCTGTCGTACACATACACACATTTTTATACAGGTAATACAGTACACACAGTGCACACTTTTTACAACTTGCACATACATATACAAATACACACACAGTTATATGCACACATGCACATGCAGTTGAGAGGTCAGAGCGGAGGCAGCCAGTCTAGCCGGCGCCAGTGAGCAGTTGGGGGTTAGGTGCCTTGCTCAAGGGCACTTCGGCAGTGGCCCAGGAGGTGAACTGGCTCCTCTCCAGTACCAGATAGAGAAACATAGCAACTAAATTACCCTTAAACCTTGTCCCCTTCAGACACTGTTCCTTTCGAGCTCAAATGGACCAAACAAGAGGTATCACATGACCATAGCGCTATTGTATCATTAGCCATGACTACAGTGTTTCCTATGCAACTAAACAACAGCTTTTCATGCTCCATCATCAAATGCCTATCAACAACATGTTCAGATATCCAAGAGCTAATATTGGGTGTGATTTCATTTCATGTGTTGCCTCAGGGAAGGAAGGGTAGGATAAAAACACTGTACCATCCAAATGGAAGGCTTGTTGGCCTTGGCAGTGAAGTTGAAGAGCAAGAAGAACTCCCTCCCTCCCTATATCTCTCCCTGCTTCTCTCATGTCTTGTCATGTCAGGCTTTTATAATAGCCCCACAGACATTAAGCTCTAATGAGGCCAATGCGTCGACCCTCAAGGCAAGGTGGATCGGAATAGACAGACATGGTAATTATTTTAAAAAAGGACAAGAAAGAAAAATCGAAATGGTATATATAATATGTGCTGTAAACTGCTGAAACAGATTAAAAAGAGGGATCCTGAAATGTACCGGGACAAACTATTGCCTTCATTTAATTTGTTATCTTTAACAAACAAAGGTTGCAGTGACACGTACATTTATATTTAGATAACCACCTCATTTTGTTGGGGTGTCATCATCGTGCTCAGCAGTTGGCACACTAGCGTGGGTTCAGCATTGGGCAGCAGCAAATGTGCATGTGAATGTTTTAGTGACTGTGTGAGTGGGTGTGTTCGCTCTGGTTGTAAGAGAAAGTGTGGACTGAGCAGAGAGGAATTATTATGTAACTCCTGCTTATCACTCCAGAGCTGTATAACTGATAAGATGAGTGAAGCATAGCTGTTTTAGTTTCCTTTGATTAACCTTTAGCATAAATCTAAATAGTTGAAATGCCCTTCAGCTGCTTCATTGTAAGGCCGTACTGTGGCAGGTGATATCAGGGCTGCAACCAGCTAATCTTTGGCATTTTGTATAAATTCATCTCTTGAGTAATTATAAAATGCTAGAATTTGTGTAAATTAATTCCATCAAATGATCTGCTTTATGTCTTAGAGAACAGCAGGATGAAACATTCAAGCAACAGAAGCATCGTGATGATGAAACGCCAACTGGACAGCAGTGTCACCAAACAGCCATCAGACAGGAAGAAACACTCACAGGTGACTTTCACACACAACATTAAATATATAAGAAATATGTCTGGACTTTGTCAATTAACAGCAGTGACCAGAACATAATCTCCTATTTGGAATCTATTACAGCACTGATATCAAAAGCAGAGAGGCTTAAAGAAGAAGAGGCTGCTCACTGCGCTGAATCAAAGGTCCAGAGCCAGAAGCCCATTGAACGTCAATTCACCTCCTGCCTCCAACTCAGACTCTCCAGGACTCCAGAGCTAAATCACAGCAAGGAATTAGCCCCCTGTTTGCACAGGTAAGCAAGGAAATAAATAGAGTAACCTTGAGACTAGCACTCATGGCATTAGGTCTTTATATACTTTACATGACGTATATCTGTTTCTCATCTTAAATAAGTCTTGGTTTCCTTAAACCTTCCCAACAAAAGGTGTTTTATTAGATGTACAGATTGAAGATCAAACTGGTACACCTGGCAGTAATGTCTCACTAAAGTCACTAGTCTCCTCCAGGCTTTAGTTATCAGTAACTGAACCACTGAAGCATGTCTGAACAAGATTGGGAAACACTTTCTGAAAGGGTCAGCTGTGTAAACAAGGAAGTGCACCTAATAACGTGACCTGTAAAAGTAGACATGTGCGAATGTGTGTTTGCCTGTGAGTTAACAATATGCACGCACTTGTTCAGTTAGTGACCATACACGACATGCCCTGGTATCCCGGACAGGGAGAAAAGAAGCCTTTATCTTATTATCTTCCTAACATTCTTATCACAAATCATTTACCCCTGAGCAGATTTTTTGCATGACTTGACTTCCTCAATTCAGCCATGCAAATTAAGTTGAGGTCATTTGAAGTTAGTCTTCTATTCTAGGGGAAATATTTAACTTTTCTTTAGAAGTAATCGGATATGACATAATATGTGCGTTTCACATTGTTTATGGTGAAAAAAGTTTGCATTTGCGTGTACTGCACATTTCGCCTTTAACGTATTTGCATGCCTATTTGTGCTTGAGATTACAATATCCTTATCCGTAAAGGCCATTGACCGCTTTATTGGTTCAAGAGAGAACACTCATCTGAAAGTGCTTGCTAGCCACCTGCCTACTTTCATACCATCCATCATGACCTTATATAGATATCTTCGAATAACTATAATGGTCTGTATACAGAACGCCCATGTTTGATGCTTGTGCTATTATGTTCGACATAAAAAATACTTTGTAAGTGCTATCATAAATGCTTTTGAGGTGTGACTTTAGTTCACATTTAACTGTGAGAAAACTGTTAGTAAAGAGAGGAACAGAGGACAGGAATGCTGACCATCCTGTTGATCAGCATTGCTGTGGCAAATGTGTCTAATGCCTCAAATATTTCACACCAAAACATTATAGTAGAGCACAGGAAGACAGGGTGTGTTCATACGAAGAGAGATATAACCCTTTTATGCAAATGTTATTGCTGAGATATTTTACTAGCTTTTGCGGTTAGGTATATCGGCAATACAGTTTGTTTAAACACCCTGATGATCGTGTTCTAAGCTGGTCGGTGCAGATGAAGTCTTGCTGTGTGAAACCTTACATAACCGTACATAACAAATCAAGGTCTCTTGCCAAATCTAAATATCACATGCAAGATTCAAAACATTAAAGGCCAACATTTAAAAAAGGCAATTCTGACCAAGTAAAGTGTCCATTACATATCACTGCAAGTATATTTCTCTGTGAATGTACAACTGGGTAGTTTACATGACGAATGAAGGCAAAACTCCTGTCCTCTCGATGATGAACTGCCTTGTCATGTTTTCCTTGCGGTCTTCCTTTTTTATGTACATAAGACGTCTGTTCACATGTAGTAAACCAGAGGAAAATGTGCATACCGTACATTATGTCTAATCTACACTAACAGTAGATGACAGGTGTAATCTAACATGGTTTTCATGTCTCCTCTCTCTCCTGTTATGCCAGTTTAACTGAAACACAGAGGACTGAGGCTAAGAACAGCAACCATCTGGTAAGAATTAACAACAATCTTTATCATTAATATGTAAGGGTTTATACCTGAACCACTACACTGAAGAGTAGCATCTAAAACAAATATTGAATTGCACGTTTCCCTCCCAGTTAATCCAAAATATTTTCAACAAGTCAATACTTGTAGTAACGCTACAAGTTAAAAGCCTCTGAATATCATTAAAATCCACATGGAGTAATTATTTTATTATTCATTATTATTATTTGAAAACATCAAAACATAGTTATGCCATTGTGTATTCTTTAAAACATCAGACTGATTATTATTTTAAGCGTTACAAGGAAAAGGGTGTGAGTGCTTTTGTGTGTTTGGCCTTAGAAATCTCACGTCTTTCAAAATAACCTGTTAGTCAAGATCAGAATCTCTTAAATAGCTCAACCATGGGAACAGAAGCCTTAGCAAAGCTCTGAACTCAGAGGCACACAGTTTGCCAGGTCATTTGCATAGGTATGATACAAAATTAACATGGGATGAGAGTTTGGCTTTAGTGATACATAACCGATCTGTTTTTGAATTGTTAGATGTCAAAATGTATTTGACAAAAAATACAATTTATGATTAAGATTCCAGATGTTAAAATAGTAGATATAATAAAAGATAAAATGGTATACAATATCTGACATGCAGTATTTTTGTATGTCCCAACAGATTAATGGGACAAAATCACCACCAGACTCCTCTATAAAGGTAGCCTGTGAATCTCCATTATCTGAAAGGATATCATTTCCAGCCAAGAAGAGGGAAGAGGCTATTACAGTTGTTTGCAATGAATTGGAGGCTACCAAGGACTTCAGTGTAACTCAAAGTTTCTCCAATCAGGAGTTTGGACCTCATGGGTGTAATGGCTTACACATTCCATGTGGGCCACAGCCAAGGACTAACACTATATCACTTGAGTTAGAAGAGGATATAAAAGGCCAAACAAAGCTTGAGAGACAAACTGATTTTGGGGAACTATCGAACACTAAAAGAACAATGTTGTCTTCCACTGTGGTAACAGTTCTTGCCCCACACTGGAATGGTCGACTAAGACGGACCAAAAGATCTGAAGGACCTGGCAATTCTGAAGGCCAGGGGAATTTACACGACGTGACAAACACTGCGGCAAACCGTGCACATGAACGTTTTCAAGACACTGTGGACAGGCCTTTGTCAGCTGGATCACAAGCCCAATCAAGGGTGCCATGTCTGGGTACGAGGAGAAACACAGTGGGCTGGTCCACTAAGAGTGGACCTGTAATCCTGGACTATGAATCTAAAAGGAAAATGATTCATACTGTCTCTTTGGATGTAAACTCTGGAAGGATGGACAATAGAAAAATGGACGCAAGTTCTGTAAGCCCTGTACCCAGAGCTTTATCTCCTTTGTCTCCCCTCTCCATTGGCCAAAATGAACAAAGGATGAATCAACAAACTGGTCATCAAGTAGGACCGTCATCTTTAAGTTCAAAACCAACAACCAGCAGCCTGCTTCTGTCATTAAGAAGAATTCACTCAAATGGCAGGAACTCTAATGCAGATTCTTCGCCCCAGAGCAGTTCGACAAGTGATCGAGATGGAAAAGTATTCGCAACGCACCTTTCTCAAAGCTTTCTCAACGATAATGGGCAAGACAGATCAAAGTCCTTCCTCTCTCCATCGCCCGTTTCTTATAGGACAAGTGAAAGTGGGCCTGCAGTATCCCCATTATCCTCCAATCAAAGAGAAAGGAACACATTTGAAACACGCTTCTTTTCACCTTCATTCATAAACAAAGACATGGAAAACACACCCTTTTCCCAACAACCTCAATCAATGAACAGGACCCAGTACACAGAATATCCAAGTAACGTACCATCAGAGATGCGGGAGAACTGGAGGGGTTCAGACAAAAGTACAAATGTATTCCCAGAGAGCTCTGCCTCTTCACCGAGACCTTCTCAATATGACCCATCTGCTCTCTTTAAAACACATTCCCTTCCTAGAAGGACCACCCTAACATCCACTTCCTGGTGGAAACAAGTGAACCAGGAAGGCAGTTCCCCTCTCAATGATGAAATGAGCATCAAAGGCAAAACAGACACAACCTTAATTCCACCCTGCAATAATAATACAGACTTGACCTCTACAAGTCCAACTGACAACAGAAGATTTAGTGGTCAAATTCTCAATAACAGATTCAACAATACCACAAGAGAGTCAGTTCGCAAAGGTAACATGAACCTTGCTATGATGACACAGGAAAGAACTCCCAATCTCAAACAAAGAAATGCTGGGGATTCACCTGAGCGTGAGTCACACAGGCTTGACAAACAGCAATATGGTTCCCATTTGGACAACAGAGAACCTCAAAAGCCTCAGAGTTTGCCCGATGTTGTGACTACTTCTAAAATGAGCAGACCTACAGGTAACCCACCACTGAGTTACCCTAAAGATCTCATCAGGCACGATGTAAATAATAGTTTATTTACAACAGATGTAACTGATTTACCACCTACTTTGCTAGATGCCAAGAGCCCAAATACACCCACTGAGAGCAGCAGAAAATTCAATAATAATCATTGTACATCCAAAACTAACACCACCCCCACATTTTCACAGAACAAGAACTCTCAAAAGTTTAACAAACCACCTCTTTCTCTTCCTACCACCAACATTCTCAATAGTCAAGCGCTTACATCTACAACGACCCTTACCCCAAACAATAAAACCATTTCCTCCTTCCAATCGGATCCAGTTGGTTCACAGACCAATATTGGCATGTATTACACAGGCTCTTCCCAACCTCCTAAATTCCCCAACCCAGCCAATGCCACACCTCTTGGCTTTGAAAGACGCTATGCTTTCGTTCACAAACCTCTCCACCCTGAAACTGTGTCCAGCCTGTTTCCAACTGGCAATGCTACCTCTAAAACACACTGCAGTCCTGTATCAACCAGCTTTCCTTTTACCACTGGCAGCCATCCTGCAGCCAGAGCTGCCCCCAACCCATCTCTCCTTACTCCTGTCGCCACTCCTGCTATGACATCATCTCCCATCATCACTGTTTCTTCTCTCCTAACCCCCCCTGCCACCCCTTTTAATACCAGCCCCAGCTTCTCAGAAACGTCTAGTCCTAAAGAGGGAAGGGAATTCTTAAGCAGCCCCGAAAGTGACCCAAAGAAACTGCGCCCCCGTGTTGACGGAAAGAGAGTGAGACGAGTAACATGGGAAGACTCAGTGGATCTAAAGGATCCTGAGCCAATCACTAGCAAGAAGCCGGAACTATCTCAAGTCCCAAAAAGCCCTCTATCTGTCTCTAGCTCCCCACAAAGCCTCAAAAATGCATCCATCTTTTCTTTTCTAAGATCAAGCAATCCAACAACAAACACACCTCCTCTTTGCTCCCATACCCCTAAGACCTCTGGCATACTTGTGGTGAAAGGAGGGAAGTATCGATCCTTATCGTCTGACTCTGCTGATTCAGCATCCAGAGAGCAAAAGAGGTTTAAGCAAAGACCTTGTGACAGTATGATCCTTGATCCAGGAAGACAGGACTCAACCACACCTAGACCTGAGAGGACACTATCAGTGGAGTCAGTTCATTGTCGTTCTTCTGCTCCTCTCTCCCTCCCTCCTGACTTTTCAAGTGGTTATAAACTTCGATATAGTGTCCCACCTTACTCCAGTCTCATGTCGTCCAGGTCAACACAGGGAGAAACTAAGACTATAATACCCAGATCCCCCCTCTTTCCGCAGTCTCAGCCATATGTTACCCCACATCTTTCTATGAGGACTGATCCAGTTGCAGCCACGACATTTCCTACCTCTAAACCCCCTCTGTCGCCTGTCAGACAACCCCAGCCCCCACCCTTGCCTTTCCAAAACAAAACTGCAACAACCCAAGGAAGTACACAGTGTGGCGTTTCAGAAACGTATCACGTCAACTTTAATAGTAGCAAGAATAACAGCCAAGATTACCAGAATGGTCAGATATTACTTATTGACAACAGATTTCATCAAGGACTCAACTCCTCTTCACCATGTGTAACAGAAACACTGGTTTACAGTGTTAAATCCAAAGCAGATAGAGCTGTAGGTGCACCGCAGTACACCACACCTAACCCTGTGCAACATACTGCGGTTTCTGTGGAGACCAAGTTGAGTCAACAGTCACACAGAGGGCAGAGTAAGGAAGGTACAAGAGAACAACGTGGCCATTCACCTCAGAGCTCCAGTGATAGCAGCTCAACAGAGAGTCAGCCTCCTGGTGAAAGCTCGAACAGGAGAGTGAAGGACAATGTACTGGGTAAGAGTAGATTTTTTTCAATGGAGGGAAACAATGAACAAAGCCCAAAGAGAAGTCGGTTTGCACTTAAGAAAAGTGTCAGCACACCAAACTCCAGTTTGCACAGATCAGAGTCTGAGAGGGCCAGCAAGACTAATAACAAAATGGACAAGGTCTTAAGCAAACTGAAAGAAAGATTCAGCTACAGACTGTCTGATGATGATGTATTGTTTCCATGGAAATGGAAGCGAGCCTCCCAAACACCTTCTGTTAGTGGATCAAGTGACATCAGTGATAGCACTATTGAGAGTACCCCCAAGCTAATGCAGCAAGAGCAGGACAAAGGGATGCTGCTGGGGGACAATGGAAAGGGAACAGAGGGAATTCATAGATGGACACCAAACAGATGCACTCTGAGACCACCCTCAGGTCCTGGGAACATAATGGCAGGAGGTGACCTTTGCATTTGGCCAGACATGTCACATCCAGAAACTGACCAAAAGGAGCTAAATGCTTTTGCAGAACACAGCAACAGTCAAAACAAACCTCAATTTTCCATCCAGAGCCTACCAATCCAATTGGACTTTAATGAAGACAGCGGGGCAGATTCTAACCCAACAAACCAGTACCTCTCTTGCAGGAGCCCTAATGCCTCTACTCAGTTAGGTCGGTCTGCATCTAGCCCCAGAAGCCCCTTCTCACCCTTCTCTTCACTTTCGCCGGTCTCCCCATTCGCCTCACAGGATGTTTCAGACGACAATGTATTTTTTAGCCCAAAGCCACAGCGCCGTAGAGATACCCCCTCACCATGTGAGCAGGGAGAAGGAATTAGCCTGGGGGGTTCAAGAAGAAGCCGGGCATCCATTGGTCCTCCAAGTGCAGGTCCAGGACAGGACGAGGAAGGCTCAGCATCGTCCTATGCAGACTTAAAGTATGGCATTGAGCCTGGGAGGTCTTTTTCTGTGAGTTCAGTACTGTCCAGCAGACCGTCAGGGCCTGGTCGCATCTCAACCGGATCCAGGTTCATGAGTGTGGGGGACCTCTCTGAATCTGCCTTGACTTGTGAAGGCAACGGTAAGGACCTGGATCAGTGGTCTGTTCATCCAGATTGGAGCACAGAAAAAGATTGCCAACCAAGTAAGGACTGTCGAATGCCATATTTGGCCAGCGACCCTGGTAAAATGAGGTCCAGATCTCTTCCTCGATCACTGACAAGGCGCTTGGCAAATTGGAGTTCAGAAGTCCCTGTTTCTCCTTCTGTAACAACCACAACCTCAAAGCAAGCCCGCCTTTGGAGCCCTAACATGAACACTTGTCACTTTGCATGGGCAACAGAGGGTCCTCCAACCCCTCCTCCTACCCCACCCCTATCACCAGTGTCCAGACGCATATCCCAGCCCCCCAGCCTTTCCTCCCCGACCTATCCTGGCTCGTCAGGGGCCTCAATGCAAGTGGACAGCCAGTCCTCCAAAGGGCTTCGGCCCTCAAGAGGTTATGAAACCAGCCTTAGCACTTTTGAGGAGTCTACAGACAGCAGTTCAGACACAACAACAGATGATGAATATTATTTAGAAACAGGTGAAGACGAAGAAAAGAAAAGAGACAGAACTGTAAAGGCAAACATTTGTTTTTTAACCGTCCCTTCGGTCAAAATCTCTTAGACCCAAAGTGGGGCTAACATCTGTTATTTAAAGTATGTCTGCATGTCTCCCTTTCCTGGGACGTAAGGACAGTTTTACGCCAGAATAATTTGCTTTTAAAAAAAAAATGGTGGTTGTTGTCAAGTCCAAAATACCTTAGATGAGCAAGCATGATATTATCAGCATTGGTTTAAAGCTTATAATATATGTGCAGTATAATTGCGGATCTGTAATCTGCATTGTTTAACATGTATAGTTTTGAGAGTTGCATGGTATCAGTGAGGGATTTACATCTATGTAGTGTATGATCAAACTTGTGTAAGGTTGTAGTTTTTACCTAAATCCTTTCTTAAGGTTTGCATTTCATCCTGCTACTTAACAATAAGTGCTGAGGTAAAGTTGATAAATGTTCTATCATGTGACATTCCATTATCTTTTTTATGTATACAGATTGAAATAAATATGGTAAGTTATTATTAGTTGTCTTTATTAAATAAGGACATGTATAAAACATGATGATTTATGCCAGATTAAGCTTGAGCTGGTATATAGAGCAATCAACAGATGTTGTAAGAATAAAGCAGATTGTTTTTCTCAGTGTTGTTTAAAAAAAATGTATTATGTATTTTGAAAAAGATTTTTTTTTAAATGTAATTCTACTGAATATTAACATTTGATGTCGAACATTATTCACTGCTTTAAACAGTGCTTGCTTTTATTTGCACATTGGCAATCTTAAATCTTAATATATCTATTTTATAAATAAATGTATTTCAAACAGTAACTCATGTTTTTGGATTTATGTGTGTGTTGATTAAGTGTTTAATTTGAGTACACTTTGCTGCTGCTTGATGACACATGATCTAACTATAACTATATGTTGTACTTCCTAAGTATTTACATGTAATCGTTAGTGAAAAGGTATGCCGCATGTCCAACAGAAGATCAGGTGCCCGAGGCCACATTCCATTCTGCAGGTTTTTAATGAAATCATGAAAGTGCTTTGCCTTGCTTTCTAATTGAAATAGTGCCAGCTATAGGTGGGGCTTTAACAGTTAAGGTGTTCCCCTTTGTTATACGCTGTGACAACACAAGCTGTTATGGTGATGGTTGGGTAAAACATCTATTAGACTGGGTGGATTTGTAAAACTGTTGCTATATTTCTACGTTTTCCCGCAATGTACTGCGTGTCCTTGTTTATCTCTTCACTGTATGATTCCTACCAGAGAAACATTCACAGTGCGACAACACAATCTGCTTCGTATTATTAGCCATGACATCAACTGGGAAAGGCCTGGCTGCTTGTCATTATGTGTCATAGTAACAATGATGTTGGGCCTGTTTATCCATTCTATGTCACTATAGGAAAAGTGCAACACATCCTCCCACCAGCAGCCTCATCCAAAGCCTTGGGTTTTTCTATGTCAAAAATATTTCATGGCACTGAGCTGACAAGAGACGCTGACAGATAGCTTATCTTGTATTGCACAGTCATAGAGAACGCAATCAGCGATATTTAAGGGCTTTTCCGGCTGCATTCCCAAAGACCAAACAAATAGATAGGCTATCAGTTTGTTCTTTGGGAATGCAGCCGGATATACAAGGCTTATTTACTTAGTGAATATAAGGCCCACAGAAATAAATGCTGTTTTGGTGAACAATAAAACACATTTGAAGTAACATTCTTACTTTAAAGTATAACAAATACATTTTCCAAATACAAATTTAGCAGATTTGCAATAATTACTATATAATATATAAATATTTGTTATGCTTTAAACGCGCACATGTTTGATAAACCGGATGGGCTGCAGACTCTGTAGTATGAAGTCTACAAAATAGACACAACAACATTCCCAGCCATCACCTAAAGAAATGTAACCTTTGTTTATATTTGTCATTTCAACATGCAATCAATGTGTTAACTTCACTTCAGTCATATTCCATTTGACTTATTGATCACTGCACTGGCTACTCCTTCAAAATAAAATATTTGTCTATCATTATGGAGAATGATATTCTTATTATTGGAGCTCTTTGTCCATCTAGTGGTGGCTGAGAGTAATTCACCTCAGTTGCTAGTTTGATTTGTTTGGTACAATAATCTTGTGTATGTTTGCACTATGAGAAATAATTTGAACCCCAAAAACCACACTGTTTGGATCTTCTGAACCACCATTTTGGCAATAGCTTGATTATAATGAGAGAGTACTGTAAGCAGGTCTCAACCACATTCAGCTGGTATGAGCAAAAGATGAGCACTATTGAACTCTTTCACTCCTGTCATGTCAAAACATGAAAGCAGCTCTTGTTTGGATGTTGGGAGGCGCTGCATTCACTTTATGAAAGAGACTACGTCAGAGTGCAGGCTTCTACTTTCATTGTTTTCTTTGTAGAGCAGACTCACCTTTTTTCAAAGACAGAAAATACAAACATAAAAAGTGTTGCATTCATTTATTCCACTCGTGTTGCATGGAGAATAAAGAAACTAAGTCGACACTCATTTGGAGGATCCTGTTGAAGGCTTCACTCTTCATCGTGTGCTTTCTGTGCAAAGAAAAACATTTGGGATAATCAGATTTTTGTATTCCTGCCAACTCATTTCATATTCTCAAAATGCAGTTATATACTGCATGATTATTATTGGTGATTACTGACCTTCTTAACACCAATGTCCCGGCTCTTTGCCCTCAGCTTGTTGACCTGAGACTCTGCGATGTCGGCCCGCTCCTCTGCTTCCTCAAACTCATGCTGTAACTTGTGCAACTTGCCCAGATTTCCATTGGCCTGTTCCTCCTGAAAAAAAGATGAGAACACGTTCAATTGTTATTGAGCTGTTTTATAAAGAGGCAAATAGACCATATATCAGAAGGGGAAGGTTTAGTGTCTTTGCTTACAGCCTCCTCTGCAGATCGCTTGTAAGATTTAACCTTCAGTTGCAACTTATCCACTAAGTCCTGCAGACGGCTCAGATTCTTTTTGTCCTCGTCCGCCTGTTAAATAATTACATGAGTCTTATTTCCTATTCAAATATAAGCTTTCATCTTAAGGTGAATGTGTATCACTGACAGAGTGTTCGTACCTGGTAGGTGAGCTCTTTGATGCGTCTATCGTACTTGCGGATACCTTTCACCGAGTCACTGCTCCTCTTTTGCTCCATATCCACCTCATTTTCCAACTCTCTCACCTTAAAACGAACAGACATTGATTACGCTTCATTGTATCGTACACTGCTTATGTGAGGCACCACAGAAGAAGACGGAGATACTCACCCTGGCCTCCAGTTTCTGAACCTGCTTCTTGCCACCTTTCATGGCAATTTGCTCCGCCTCATCCAGACGGTGCTGCAGGTCTTTGATGGTTTGCTCCATGTTCTTCTTCATCCGCTCCAGGTGAGAGCTGGTGTCCTGTTCCTTCTTCAGCTCCTCTGCCATCATGGCAGCGTCAGTAATGGCCTTCTTGGCCTTCTCCTCAGCATTCCTGCACTCCTGCACCGCCTCCTCCACCTCATTCTGAAGCTGAGCTGTGTCACATTCAAGCTTCTTCTTCTGGTTCAGCAGGCTGGTGTTCTGCACAGAATCATACATGTTTTCTTTTAGTACAATTACATGGATATACACTCAAATGACGTGATGTCTGACATACCTGAGAGTGCAGCAGCTGAACTCTCTCGCTGACATCCAGCAGCTCCTGCTCAGCCACTTTACGTCCTCTCTCCGTCTGCTCCACCAGAGACCTCAGCTCGTCCAGCTCCGCTTGCTGCAGGTTGGAACGTCTCTCCACGATAGCAAGGTTCTCCTTCAGATCATCATTGGCCCGGAGAGAATCATCCAGCTGAAGCTGCGCATCCTATTCAGAAAGATTTTTGAACATCTTTGAATCCTTTATTCCAAGAATGAATAGAATAAAGACAACATGTATAGTCTCTTCTGTACCTTGAGGTGAGAATGGGTTGCTTTGAGCTGCTTCTGAGCCTCTGCTGCCTGCCTGCTGGCGAGGCTCAGCTGGATCTCCATCTCATTGAGGTCTCCCTCCATCTTCTTTTTTATTCTGAGAGCCTCGTTCCTGCTGCGAGTCTCAGCGTCCAGCGAGCTCTGCAGACTGTCCACCGCTCTCTGATGGTTGCGCTTGGACTGCTCCATCTCCTCCTCCTTCTCAGCCAGCTTCCGCTCGATGTCAGCTTTAACCTGGTTGAACTCAAGCTGCGCTCGGAGGATCTTACTCTCCTCATGCTCGAGGGAACTCTGTTAAAAAAACAGCAAATCACTGTTTTGTCTTTCAAAGCATCAGAGGGTATTCCAGAGAAGGGAACATTGAAAAAATGGCGTGTACATGAAAAGCATTTGATATTTGTTCACCTCAGCTTCCTCTAAAGCAGACTGTATCTCAGCCTTCTCCTGCTCCAGGTGTTTGCGGGTCTTCTCCAGCTCGTGGATGGTCAGTCCTCCCTCACCGAGCTGCTCAGTCATGTCCGAAATTTCCTCTGTTTGGTGATATTCATTTGTTTTACTATTGTCCCAACCTCCCCACTGTATTGAGTGTATGCTTAAAAAGGTAAATCATGTTTTAATATATGTTCATACCTTGGAGATTCTTGTTTTCTCTTTTCATGGTCTCCAGATGATCCAGAGATTCTTCATAAGAGTTCTTCAGTTTAAAGATCTCGGTGCTGAGAGAACGAGCCTCTTTCTGGGAGCCTTCCAGCTCAGTCTGGCACTCCTCGTACTTCTGCTTCCACTCAGCCAGGACCTGAGAACATTATTAATTAAATACGTTTATGTTATTGAATTATTCACACACTAAATGTGTAAATTCATAATTGATTCTGTACGAGAATATGCTTATCAGGATGTCATTTTATATGTTTTTACCTTGTCAAAGTTTCTTTGTTTCTTGTCCAGCACTGCAGCAGCAGCATTAGATCTCTCCACATCCACCATGAGATCTTCTATCTCACCCTGAAGTCTGTGTTTGGTTTTCTCCAAGGATGAACATTTAGCATTAGCAGCTTCAACCGATTCTTCCGCATCCTGTAAGCGTTGAGTAAGCTTTTTCCTAACAACAAAAATGCAAGAATTAAATCATTAGATTACATTTGATTACAGTTAAAATGGGAAAACCATAGCATAATGTAGGAACTGTCCTAAGATGGATCCATATGACATGCTAATAAGTAACGTGATCCTTACTTAGCTTCTTCCAGCTCTTCAGTTCTCTGGATGGCATCAGTTTCGTACTTGGTTCTCCACTGAGCCACCTCAGAGTTTGCCTTGGACAAACTGCGTTGGAGCTCAGCTTTGGCCTCCTGCTCCTCCTCATACTGCTCCCTCAATAAATCACAGTCATGGCGAGCAGACTGCACTGCATGGGCAAGTGCATTCTTTGCCTTTGATAAAGAAACATGAGGTCAAGTCATTTTGCTATTAGAGATCAGGCTCTGTATGCTAAAATCAGTTTAACAGCTACCTTGACTTCCTCCTCCAGCTGTCTCTTCAGGTCTTCAATCTGCTGAGTGTAAGACTGCTTCCCTCTGGTCAGCTGAGAGACAAAAGCGCTCTTCTCCTCCAGCTGCCTGGTTAACTCACCTGCAAAATAAAAGGTGGGATATCTTTATTTTCCAAACAGTAGAAACGCCACTAATTGTGTGTGCTTTTAAAATGATTACCATTTTCAGTTTGAAGCTTTGCTTTTTGCATTGTGAAGTCATTGATGATACGCTGGCCTTCTTCTGATTTCGTCTTGTATTCAGTCATCTGATCCTCCAGAGTGCGACACATTTTCTCCAGGTTGGT